GTACACCCAGACACGGCCCGAGCAGGCTCCGGCACGCTGCTCCCCTCCAGGCAGCATCCCCCCTTTCCCAGCCCCTTTCCCAAACATCCTCTGTCCCCAGGAACCGTTCCCTTTGTTAAGAAAAAGAATCTACCTTCCAGTCTTTGAAGCTCCTTTTTAAAAGCAGCCCCGATAAGGATCTTTCTCTCCTTGAACATGACAGGTTGTTGGCCCTGTGGTTATTTCAGCAAGGAGCCTGGTGGCTCGTGGCCTCAGATCTCCCTGGCTCTGACAGGAGCAGGAGGAGACGTGGAGCCTTTGCAGGGAGATCACAGGAGCTGAAAGCTAAACCTGCTCCCTAGATCGCCGTGATACCGCAAAGAGGCAGGGACCAAATCCAATCAGACCGAGGCGGCTTCCCAAACACAACCCTGCCCTGGCAAGAAGGAACCTGCAACAACTCACACATAATGAGCCCATCTGGAATTCGTTTTCAAATCTAATTAAGTTCTAATATGCAGAAACATTTTTCCAGCACCTGTTCACTTTAATCTCTGCCTCTGGGGATTTCCATGTTAAATGCCTTCTCCTGAATGTCACGCTGCTGAGCGAGGCCTCGAGACGTGCGCGGGGCTGTTAGCACCAAACTGGAACCTCATCCCCCCCCAGTCCCTGCCCCTCCTCAGACAGAGCCCCCCTCAACGCCAGCACTTCTCCTCCAACCCCCATAACACCATTTTATTAGGCAATTACGTTTTAAAGGCCTTAACAAACGTCAAGCTGGGAGAAAGACATCTCCATCCTGAACTCAGCAGCCACCAGGGCCCCAGCAGCGCCTCTTGGCATGTTATTGCTGAGACCCCCAAAGCCATGAACGCCCAAGAAGCAATGACTCCAAAGGGAGGCCAGGAAGAGGTTCACGAAGGTGCAAGTATTTAGTTCCTGGACAAAAATCAAGCAGCAAAGCCTGGAGGAGCTGCACAATGAATCATCCTGAAGACAGGAGCAAGCTGGAGGTTGCGTCAGGCGCTGCGATTAGAGCCTTGTGAACCACTGTTTGGAGGCAGGAGCTGCAAACGGATGAGGTCAAACAGGGGGAAGGATGGGTGCTCCTGCAGGGAATGCGGGATGCATTGCACACCCCTGCAGCTCCGGGATGGCTGCCGTGGGACAGGCTGCTGGGTGGCCTTGGAGTTCGTGATCTGGGTGAGGAGCCAGGGTGGCTTCAGCCAGGAGGGAGGCTCTGGCTCTGTGTCCAAGGGCTGGATGGCTGTTAGCATCCCACACCATCAGCATCCCACGCTGGACTCGCTCTGCTGAAGGCACCATGAAAATGAGCAGCTCTGTCCTTTCTGTGCATTCATAAAGCCCAACCTCACTCTTCCTCTGCTGATTCCAAGAGCTTTACCTGGCAGTCCTGCCCCTTTGCACAGATCCAGCAGCTGACCCAGAAATGAAGCAACTTTTGTAAGAGCAATAGGTCAGTGAGAGTTGAAACCCTTCTCAGGAGACTCCTCATGAGCTAATCAAGCATCCTCCTCCCCAGAGCAGCTGGGACATTTAAGGCTAAGGCGGCTTTTCCAGTCCAACATGAAGTGTTGGTAGGAGGCCAGGCAGGGGAAGTCCTTCGCTGTCAGTGAACCCTCCCTGCAGAAGTCTCCCTGCAGGCTGGCTGCGGTGCCTTCCCTGCAAGAGGATTTCAAAGCAAACAGGAGGAAGCAACGTGTGCCCTGGTGAGGGCAGCCGGGCCCAGAGGTCCCTTTGCTCTGATAAAAGCAGTGCCCTGGCGCAGGGCTCACCCAGGGCCAGATGGGACCCCGCTCTGCAGATGACAAGCCAAGGCTCAGCCGCTGTAAATGCACAAAGCCCACGCTGGACTCTGGGAGGGCAAAGGGCTCTTTCACAACACTGGTGCCATTGTAAAGGGCTTTCGTCTTACACCATCCCAAAGAAACTCAGGCAGAATGTTAAGGCAGCTGTAAAATGCAATTCATTGCAAGGGTGACATCTCCATGTTTGCACTGAGCCGACACAAATACCTGTGATAAGAGACAAAGCCAGGCCCAAAATCCAATTATCCAAGTGTTTCAAAGGGTCTGTAAAATGCAGCCAATCTCTTCAACTTCAGCTCTGAATAATCAACCCAGGGCTTGGAAGGTACCTTCTTAGTGAAATCAAAATCAATACGGTTAATTTCTAGAACCAGACGGACAAAGGAGATCCCTCGAGGGTAGAAGACAGGGAATGGAAAATGCTCGTACGTAACGTTCAGGCAGGCTCTGCCTCATCCAGCTGAGAATCAGGGTGAAATGGCCACTGCAAATCCGTCGTCTTTCCTCACAGAAAGCAGTTACTCTCACTTGTGTGTCTGTGTCTTGACAAGAGCGACTCCTTCATGGGTTTTGTTGCATTGAACTCACTGAGAGGCATGTGCCGGTTCAGACTGGAGACAGCGCTGTGCAGTGATGCTGCGCAGACAACCCATGAGGCCAGGGGGGATGTGCTCTTCCTTCTGGCTAATCTCACCTGGGGAGGCATCTCAGAGCAAAAGAACTTGTACTCAAGGTCCCCAAAGCCCTCGATGTTCATGCTGGAGCAGAACTCCAGCCCTCCCAAGCCAGGAGAGCAGCGGCCGCACACAGAAAGCGCGTCCTGCCAGTTCCACAGGGGTGGTTCCTCCGAGCAGCGGGGCCAGTGGCCAACATGAAGAGAGTGGTAAAGGAACATAGGAATGACACGGGCAGAGCGTCGGGAAGAACTCTCGGCTCCCGAGGCAGGGCAGCGCCGGTGCCACCAGCTCTCCTCTTCCCAGGGAGGAACAGCCCATCCGCGCTAACGCACCACGAGGTGAGTCACGTTCAGGCAGGAACAGCTGCAGCCCCACAGGACGTGGTAGCTCCTGCTGCTGCTCCACAGACACAAAACGTGGTGCAGACCATGGAAAAGCAGCTCTCTGACAGAGACACCTCTTCAGCCATGCAGGGAAGCTCCTGCCTGCAGACCGGGCCCTCACCCCCCTTTGTGCCTGCAGCGATGCCAATCCAAGTGCATTTTGAACAGTCACCGCTGAAATACCAACACCTACTGCAGAGGTATGAGACATCTTTCAGCACGATCAAAGCACAGTTGCTGGCTTACCCCTCACTAGAGATACAACCAGCAGCACCTCTTCCTCTTCCTATTCGCACAGCTGAAGCTGAATCTACCGTGCTGCCCTGCTGCAGACAGATAGGAGGGTTCAGTAGATTCTGCCTCGCATCTGGATGCACAGTTGTTCTATAAATACACCCACACTACCCAACACGCTGCCCTTCTGGTTCTCATCCAATAGCTCCTTTCATCCTAAAGGGCTTTTCAAATGAATGCTTGCACATTACACTGAAATATATGTATGGACGTTTCTCTTTACCAGTGATAGCTTCTCAGCGTGAGACAAAACACAGCAACTACTCTAAAGTGCAGCTTTCAGCCCAAAGTTATCTGGGGGGCCAGCACAGAGGGGACCTCCCCAGTGAGGACTGGGGGCTCAGCTCCTGCACTTTCAGCAGGGAAATAGGGAGCGGGGCGCTGGACCTTGAGCCATCTGCTCCCTGCTGTGAGGCCAAGCACTGGACTCCTGCTCCTCGCACTGTATCTGACCAAGGCTTTGACACCATCGCTGTCACCAACCCAGTAACTATGAGGTAGTGTCTCTGACCTCAAGCCTTGCACATTTAATGAGACCCCAAAGGTTTTCCAAGCCAGCAGTGACTAAGCTTTCCGTTGATTTAAGAACATTCCAAAAAAATTAGGAGATCCTACAGCCAAACACGTTTAAGGCTGAAGGACAATTCCACCCGCCGGAGCAGCCCTCATTGCAAAAGAGGCAATTATGGACACAAGTTATAAAACATATGAAATAAGCTGCAGCCCAACCCAGCGAACGTGTGGTGCATGGAAATTTCCACACGAGGCTGGAGCCATCAGTTCCCTTTCTGTTTATCTCCCAGCTTCAGATTCCGAATGGGAGTGAAGACCGTACGGGAACACCCACCGCCTTCCTGCTACTCCCAGCACCCCGGGTGGCCCACATGTGGGACACAGGCCATGGGACCTCCTGCAAGGCTGCACCCTGACTGTGGCACAGCGCGGGCTCCTCCGAGCAGGACCTCGGCACGCCAGGAGATGATCTCATCTTCACATCCAGGGCCGACCCTTGCACAACCGAGCTCTGCTGCATCTGCGTCGGACCTGGCTTATCAGCTCCTGAGAGCTGCCCGTGTGCGAAGGGAAGAGGCACGGGTTCCATCCACCTTTCCTCTCCAGCACTGAATTCAGCCAAGGGGTGTTCCTCTTTACTAGCCAAGCCAGCAGTTGGGTGTTAAGGGGTGGAAGGGAAAGATGGAGTCTCCCAAGCTCGTTCACCCAGGCCAGCGTTTCAGATTCAGGGCACACAAGAGCTCCATTTCTGCTGCTGGTGCACGACAGGCCCATTTCAGTTGTCCCAAATGAAGGCAGCTTTGCTTATCCCATGCTCCTTCACGGACAGCTTTAATACAGGCAGCAGGAGCAGGCTGTGAATCTCACACAGACAAGAAGGAGATAACCAACTCGGGTGATGGATGGCTAATTAGCTGGCAAACAGCACCATTAATTAATTCCTCTGTCCCTGCTCACAGGGCACCAACATACACACGTTCGAGAAGCGGTGCCATTAGCCTCTGCAGAGATCCTGTCCCCAAGTTTCTAACTTGGCCCTGCAGATACAGGGGGGCTGAAGATCCCCAGGAACAACTGTCAAGGGAATAATGACAGTCCATTCATCACTAGCAGCAATGAAAACCACAGCAGACAGGTTACCAGCAGTGCTCCTGCAGGACACATCATGTAGGAGCATTCTGGACCCACTCTGGGGGTGTGGAGCCCCCACTGCTCCTCAGGACCAGTTTTTGGAGCTTAGTCTGACCCAAGAACTGGAGCACTGGCAGCCACCCCAGCACTAGAGAGGAAAGCTGGGGCACAACCCTTGCTCTGACAGCCTTTGCACCTTCCTTCTGTCACAGAGAAGCACGCACAAGGCTGTCCCTCCTCTTCCTGCATCTATTTTCTGCTGCATCTGCTGCCCAGTTGGTGCCTGTAAGCGTGTCACACACGAGCAAATCCCTGGCAGTGCAAAGGGAACCCACTGCTCCCACCACACCATTCCTGCGAGCACACATCATATGGCTGTGCTGCGGAGGAAGCTGAACTCAGCTGGGGATTAAAACCAGCAGAGAGGCATGGCAAATACTGCCAACACATATAGAGGGGAGGGGAATTTAGAGCACTTGCTATGGGCTCATGGTGGATCACTGCAGACCTCATTTAGAGGCTGGATAGCCAATGGCTACTGCTGCACTGGGAGCTGTAACAACACGTTTACGAGGGGGAAATGGAGCTTATGCAATTACTCTGCAGACATGTGGTGAATGGTTACTACTGAAAATAGTTCAGACCTCAAAGCCATCCCTTCCTGAGCTGGCCATCCCGATTTCCATGCTGATTTCCAGACACACAGCAGAGCTGGTTCTGCAGCTCCCCCCTGCCCCAGGCACGCAGCTCTTACCTTATAGAACACATCAGGCACATACTGCTCGCTGCTGGACTCCTTGGCGTAGCCCAGCTCCGGCGCGTCTCGGCAGGGCAGCAAGCACTCATCCCGCACCAGAGCCATGCACTGATTCGAGACCTGGTACCCCTCAAAGTGGACCTGGTTGTCGGGACCACCTGGAAGAGAAGAGGCTGGTTAAAAGCCCCACCCAGGAGTGATTTGTCCGGTGTAACTCGGAGAGGCACGACCCCAGGAGCAACAGTAAACACCATGCTCTCACTAACAGTGAAGCACGGCGAGGTGGAACCTCTGTGCTGCTGCCTGGAAGGATTTCTAGGCAAGAACCCCCTCTAAGCTCTACATTTATTAAGTAACACACATCTTCACAGCCAGCCTAACAGGACAGACTCCTGTGGTGACAGCGAGAGTGCTTTGCCAAGAGCTTAAAGGTGAAGCTGCCCTTTGGGAAGGCTCCGGATAACACCACCCTCCCGCTACCCTGTGGGTGTCTCCTCTCTCTCAGAACAAAAACCAGACACAGCTCCTGCAAACCTGTTTCATTTCCAAGGAGCTACGAGCTGCAGATTGAGGGTTGGTCACTAAGAAATGTCAGGGATAAGAAGAAGTGTTTTCTCAGCCTGTAATGGATGGCTCAGTGGAAATCTGACATGGAAAGTGGAAATTAAGCCCCTGGCTCACTGATAGATCACATGCTTGGTGCTTTAATTTGGGTAATGTAAGCAACATCAGGTCATATGTCAGTAGAATACAACTGGAAAGAGAAGATACAGACAGATGGTAGGAAAACGTTACTATTTCCAAACCTAGGGAATTCAGGAGGGGACAGGAATTAATCCATGTTGAGGATTTAAAGGCAAAGTTGATGCAAACTATCCAAATGTATTTATATGGCACGAAACGAAGGAATCAAGTGTTTAAATAGAAACCTGATGGGCTGATTGAACAGAAGAGAATGAGATTATCTGGAACAGAAAAGAGGAAATATTCATTTTCTACCCTTTGATCTCTAACCTCAATCACTCACTGCTCCAGAACAAACACTCCTAGAAATTAAACGTGGACCAAGACCCAGGGAAGGTCTGAACAAAGCTGGCCACTGGTTTCTCAGTGAAACAACCTTGTTTAAAACCAGAAATAAATACCAAAAGGAGTGAGCGAGATACACATCTATCTGTAATGAAAGATGGATGTGCTGAGCAGCCTGGAATGCACGGGCAGCTGTCTGACTGCACGGGCCTCAACTGAAAGAGAGAGTTTTTCTCTGGAAAAGGCTCTGGGAACACTTACAAAACCTGGGCTCGGGGCAGGCAAGATCACACTTTCAGTTTTTACACTGGATGCTGGTTGCAAGTCACGAGGTTTGGTTTTGGGGTTATTGTGTTAAACAGACCCAGAACCCAGCGTATCTGCTCCAGGGGAGGTTTAACTGAACACATGTGGCAGACTGAACCTCGAAGAGCCAGCACACACCAGCACCTCCCCTCGCAGCCCGGGCAGTGCAGAGCGTTCCCCGCTGCCTCTGGAGACTTGCTGTGAACTGGCTAAAATCAGAGGTGACAAAGCAAAGCAGGTTTTGCAGCTTCTCTGTTTTATTCAGGCAAACAGAAAATGTTTCCATGTGCAGAAGAACGCAGCATCCTACATAAGGGTTCCCTGACAGCAACACAAGGGAGATAAAGGTCCCTCCTTCATGCTGAACCAGCCAGAGTTAACTCTCAGGCTCTGGATTCCCGTGGTTCTGCACTGCCGCTTTCAGGCAACAGCATTTGGAACTGAAAGATTCAAACCAGAGAAGTGAGGAACAGTTACTCCCCTGGCTGCAGGCAAAAAATGCTTTCTGGATCAGAGAGGTGGATGCTCCAAGTCTGAACCTCAATTGTTTCCTGCAGGGGACAGGGTAAACGATTGAAGAGAAGATAGCAGAAGGAATGAAGAAGTGTTTTACTTGATAGAGCAAAGCAAACCCCTTGTTAAACAGGACAGATGGGGACCGGGATGTCTGACTTCTCCTGGCAGAGCTGTATATTCTTCTCTTAACAAGAGATAATTCATGTGTAACCCAGAGAGCTGGGGCAAGCCCAGGCCAGTGAATACCTGTAGCCACAACTGTGACAAACTTGGATCCAAAATGACCATCTGGAGAAAGGCGGCAGATGTTGGGCTGCTGGTTCTGAAAGTTTCCAGCTGTGATGCACTCTTCTGCACTTAGATAATACGTGTCCTGAGGGAAGAGCAGAAATATCAATACCAAGGACAACGCGGTGGAGCCCAGACCCACTTCCCTGGTCTGCAGCCAAAGAAAACTACCAACACCCTCAGAAAACATGCTTTCGTAGAAAGCTGCTGCAGGGACTGGGGAAAGAATGTGACATGTCAGCTCCCCAGCCCTGAGCCTGGCTCCCGCCAGAGCGACTGTCCCACTTGTGGTTCCACCCACCTTTCACACCTTTCCTTTTCATTTTAACAGGGATTCATTTTCCAAATGGGGCCGTTATTGATTTAGAATTACAGGGAGCTGGGAAGGTCAAAGTTTGAGCCATTTATATCTCACAAAGCCCAGCCCAGAGGAACATCCTCTGACTGAGCCACTTTGGCTCAGTTTGCACCTCAAACCACCCCACTCACAGAATCATCTTAGAATCACACAGACTGGTTTGGCTTGGAAGGGACGTTAAAGCTCATCCAGATTTTCTTAAACCAGGAGCACCAGTTCTTAAAGCAGAGTAGCTGGAGGCAGCTTTGCATTATATCTAAACAGCTTCAACCCCCTAACAGTGCTCTTCAAGCTCCTTTTCCTCCAGAAGCTTCTGAAAAACCAACCCCATTTCACAAGAACTCTATTCCCAGCATCACCTCCAGCCGTGCTCAGCACCCTGCTGCGCACAGCCAGCATTAAGCCATTACAAGCCCTCAGCACCAGCAGCTCTGATTTAGCTGCACGCTTGAACCTCACCTTGTTTCTGCTGTATCGAACAGTCCCTTTCCGGGTGTCTTCAGAGACCAGATCAGTAAATATCCAGCCAACCTATAAAGAAGCATTACAAGGAAAGTCACTTTAAGAAAAAAAACCCAAAGCAGAAGAGAGCTTATACATTTTCTCCTACCAGGACAAGATGTTCTTGGCTCCTCGCACGGCCCTGCTGTAGCTGCCTGAAGGAAATGGCTCTCCCAGCTGTGCCGGGCTCATTTGAATCCCATTTCCAGGAGCAGCATGCCAGCTGGCCGGCCGGGGGCACCTGCAGCTTTATGTTTCACTATGGAATATTTTTTCATGGAAAGATCTGGAGGCTGCAAGAGGCCTCTCAGCCGCTACCTCCTCCCACCCACAGCAAAAAGCATTTCCTATTGAGTGCGGAGCGGGAGCGCCAGCAGATGACAAAGCAGCTCACATGATCTCATTTGGAAGCTCAGTAACTAGTTAAGATACAGCTCAAATGTTCCCGCTGGAGTATGATTCATTCCAAATCGATCTGCTCCGATCCAAACCCC